CAAAAAAAACACAGAGGTTTACAGTATCAGAAACGAAACATAAATGGATTACCTTTTGAAAAGGAAGGATGTAAAAGAGTCCTGAAGGGTCTTTTATTTCATCTATCTGATTAGCAGTAAACGTTTTAAGTCGTGCTGTTTTTGACCTGAACTGACAATTAGGAATAACCCTAGAAACAAAGAAACAAAAGAATTATTCTTTGAAAATTTAGTTTCTAAAAATACCTTGACTTAATTACCACCCCATGTACAATATTCAAACTCATTCTGTCTTTAAATAGTTAAAACAATGCCTTTGGCCTGTTTTGTTTGTTTTAAACTCCTAGTTTTAAACAGTAACAGGTTCTATACTGACCCTTTATCTTTCTCAAATAATCATCAAGAAAGTCTTATAAATGGGTATTGGTTCTGCCATTGCATAGATGAGAGCCAGAGCTTTTTACTCCTTCCCTAACTCCAACAGAATTACATTTTATTTCAATTTTTTTTAAAGGGTAAGCAGGCAAAGTTTATTGAAAAGTAAAGAAAAAAACCAGTTCTCTGCAGCAGGGAGGGGACTTTAAAATGAGTTGCCTAGATTTATTTATTTATTTTTTTTAGTGGAATGGATCAAGTTTAAAAAAAATCATGGGGCACAAAAGCATAGAAAATAAATTAGAAACATTAGCTGTTTTACTAATTATTTTATAACAAGAACAAACTAGTTACAGAGGATGCCCTGTACAAAACACAATAAAGATTCAAACTGAGGTGTTCCCTTAACAAGGCTAAAAATCTCAGTCTCTGGTGCTTGGATTTCAGGCTATAGTCCTTGTTTCTGGATGGATTCTTTCTGGCTTTAAAGTAAACATTCTTAATCCCAAATTTGAATTTGGGCATTATTGTTGTTTTTGAGATAGAGTCTCACTATATAGCCCTGGCTGGCTTGGAACTCATTTTGTAGATCAGGCTGGCCTCAAAGACAGCAGGCATTAAAGGCACGTGCCACCATTCCTGGCAGAAACTACTTTAAAATATGGTTGCTGACCACCATGAGCTCACAATCTAGATAGAAAGACAAGGCAAAGCCATTATTATACATGTATACATATACCCACCCAAACACACACCATGATACTGGGCTAAAACTATAAAAATGATTGTACCTGCTTTCACTTACTATATACTATCAGCATTTTCTCTTTGTTCTTAAATATTCCTTGAAGACATAATTTTAAGAACTGTACTGGCTGGGCACAGTGATCTATTGCCTGCAATTCCAGCTATTAGGGCAGCTGAGGCCGGACCATCACTCCAGCCAGGAGCTAGACAACATAATGAGATTCTGTAACTTAACAAAGTAACAAAGTAGTTCAGTGTCCAGATCTGAATGTATAATTTAGTGGTAAAGTACAAGCAAGAAGACCTAGGTTTGACCCCTAGCACCACAAAGAAACAAAGCTGTACTGCTGCCAACCACAGGGCTGCATTATAAAGGATTTAGCCAATTTGCCATTCTTGGCTACTTAGCTTGCTTCCTTTTTTGTGCTAAGTGTATACAATGTCTATAAAGTCCAATATCCCTGTACTTGCCTTTCTGAAGTATCTCTAGGTAATCCCTTAGGGGCTAAGAAAATTGCTGTCAAAGTATACGAACAATGATACATATTAATGAAATACTTTTCAGGAAGACAGTAACAATTTACATACCTACTCTGCTTGATTTCTCTCTTTAACAGGAAATGAGATAACCAGGGGTGGCCGGTGACCTGTAATCTCAGCACTCAGGAGGTTGAGGCAGGAGGATTGTCATGACTTCGAGGTCAGCCTATGCTACACAATGAATTCCAGGGAAGCCTAGGCTTACAGTATGAGACCATCTCAATAAAGAAATAAAAGGGGGAGTAACAGCTCGGTGTGTAGCATTTGTATCACGTGTGCCAGGCCCGTGGTTCCATTCTCAGTACCGCAGAACAACAAAAATCAGAATCCTGGTAAATACATGTGCTATTTACATGTACTGGTCTCTCATTCCAATAAAGCTTACATAGAATTCTTATTTTAATAAATGTCTTCCATCACCACTAAAGATGTTGCCTAGGCTGTACCTCAATTGTACAGTGCTTGTTTACCACACGCTGAGGTCCTCGGTTCATTGTCCAGCATTACCAAAAAAGAATTAAGTCAAATGTTGTATACAGGTGGCACACATCTTTAATCCTAGCACTCTAAAAGATAAGTTGTTCAAGATCATTCAGGACTACATAGTGAGTTCTAGGTTATCCTGGACTACTTTGAGACCTGCGTCTCACACTGCCCGCTACCCCTCCGAGGGGAGGGAGGAGGGAGAGGAGACGAGGGGGGAGCGGGAGAGGCACTGAAAAAAATCGTTTATTAATTCAAAAATATGTTTTACAAAAACACATCTTATGATTCCATTGTAGTGTTCCTAATTGATACAAACAAGGTCAATCAAGTTGGTTGACAAAGCCTTCAAACTCTCTGGACACTAGTGCGGTGTATTTTACATGTCTTTGGTGGGGCGGGGGCGGGGGGCGGTGTCACAGAACAGTTTGAGAAAACAACGAACACCTGTAATAGCAGGTGGGAGGCCAAAAGGCGGACGTGCTCAAAATGCTGCCTACAATTTCTGAGCATTCATCAACTTTCTCTCTGGTCCGCTCAGTTAATCTCTAAACGCCTATTTTCCTTGGCTATTTTCTGTTACCAAACGAAACACACAGCCCACTTTCGGAGCCACGTGGCACATCACTAAAACCCAAATCAATTTCAGTTCTATACATCAGGCTCACCAACCCATCTTGAAGCCCAGGCTGACTCCAGCAGGAGATGGAGCACAACCTCTGAAAATACCCGGCGCGCGAGGCTGGTCCCCCGGGACCACGAACACTTACGAGACATTTTCATGGCTGTAGCCGATTTTGGCGTTATAGGCTCCGTTATCCAGCACTAAGGTCGTCATTTCAGCACCCACAACCCGAAACTGGGTTCTTTTTCCCACTTTGGGTTCCTTCTGCTCAGGCTTTTTCCGGTACTCTATGGCTTGCGGGGCGGAGCCATAGCGCTCTTAGTCTGCGCTTCCGATTACCTTGGCAACAGAGGACGTCAGGAAGTGGAACAGCTTTCGCCTTCAGCCTGCACCCACTACTGGCAAACCTAACCTAACCTTAGGTCGTGATGAAATTCAGCAGTAGAAACTGCTAAGTACTTTCTCGCCAGCTTTGTAATTTTCCTTACGGCGCACATTAGCGAATGAACGCTTCTAACCATCGTCGTGACCTGGTTGTGTGTGTGTGTGTGTGTGTGTGTGTGTGTGTGTGTGTGTGTGTTGTATGTGTGTCTGTCTGTCTGTGTCTGAATGTGTGTGTCTGAATAGAATTGAGACGCTGATAATTCTTGGAGAATAGAGTGCAAAGCCATACAGCATGAAACTGGATATGAAATTTCTCTAGCCTCAGTCCTTGGCAGTCGCTAACCGATTGTAGGATTCTGTCATTATAATTCGTATATTTATATACGTGGGCGGTTCCATTGTCTTCATTACTTTAAAAAAATTTATAACTACATCATTAGAAAAAGCATTTCATTACAGCTTTAACATATTCAGTAACACACTCCAGAGCAAGAGTACATCTCTTTCACAAGTGTCTGTAAGTTTCTAGGTTCACACTTGAATTCATACAGTTATACAGTATTGAACTCAGTATAAGCCCTGTAAGACATAAAATT